GAGAGCACGCTGCACTTGCGTCCGGAACATGCTGCCACATACAACTGTCGGTGGTGATCACACAAGCGGACCGCTTGCCTGCCCTTGACATCAGAAAGACCCTTGTCACATTCAAGGAGTCGGACCGACTCCCCAGCTGCTTGATCCCGACATGGTTCATTGGCTAAGGCTCGCGGCTTGCCACCATGGGTCAATCCAACTAGGACGGCCTCGCAAGGATCTTCCAGGACCTCAGCTTCAGATTCCGACTCAGGGTCAAGGGGACGGAGACCTCCATGATCCTGAATGGTACGGGCTGGTTGAGGGGTATCCATCAGATATCGAAGGAGCGTCCACCCAGAGAGTACCCCGACCATCTTCCAGACGGATCGTCCGACACTTCTGAAACATCTGGTAAAGAGCACCATCAGTCGCCTGGTGGACCACCCGGCGTACGCTCCCAAATCTACCACGCTGTTGGCATCCACCACTGCGTAGGTTTTGCAGTGTATACCCGGTGTAGGGTGGTTCTCAAGACTACATTGCATTTCCCGGCAAAGGTGGACTTTACTCTCTCCTTCCAAAACCTGCCTCAGATTTCGATGGGAAACACCTCGAACTTCTCTCAGCCGGACCCAAAGCCCATTCCGATCAACGCGTGCCCAGTGGTCGCAATCGGGTTTGACCCTCGCTGCCTGGCCATTGAGCAGAAGCACCACATCGTTGGGCTTTCTCTCAGTCCCTCGACCCTTGACTCCTTTTTGTAGGAAGTCATTATCAACACTTTCCCTGGAGCCGGGGCCTCGGATGGCTAAGGATTCGTAAGTGTGGGTTGCCTGCAACTCAGGCAGAAGATCACTTACCTCCCGTGCAACAGCTTGAGTATGACGGGTGCAGCAATCAAAGAGTAGCCGGATCGGCCGGAAGACCCAAGTCAACGCATAGATTACCCCAATGGTCAAAACTGTAATCAGCGCTAGTAGGGTTCCCCAGGCAATCCATGGCCAAAATTCTCCGCAGGTAGCGAGTCCAAATCGATCAAGAAAGTAAAGCCCCCAGCCCCCGGAGGAGCTAAGACTTCCCTTCTGTTGTGGGGCGCTAAACCATGCTGGTCCCATCCAGGACCTGATGTCAAAATGGAAAACTGAGTGACCCCACACATGAGCGAAAGTGCTCGCATCTCCTGCGTGAGGAGCGGAACGCTCACCTTCCTCAGGGGCCATCCTGGGAGGGGCGGTCTCGCCCACGGTTGCGTCTGGGAAAATCTCCTCCACCTCATCCGAGGAGTTGGAAGAAAACCACCAGACCCAATCAGCCGGGGGGCCCTGAACAAGCTCCAGGGTCAATGCGAGGCCCAGCACCGATAGCCATGGCCCACCTAACATTGTGACACCTGTCCTATTCAAAGCAGTCCCTAGGCTGCAATCACTTGAGCCAGTGAAAGCAGCAACCCAAGCTAACCCTACGTTCTGGCGAACACACGAGATAAGCCAACATTTTCAATCCATCACTGGTAAAATGTCAATGTTGTTGATTTAAATATGTTGGACAATAACATGGATAAGCCAACAGTTTCTCACCTTTGATTGACAGTTTTTGTTTTTAATCGCTCCCTGAATATCCATCACCCCGTGCTAGATGGTTCAGGAGCTGGTCCATGAAGATGCAAGAAAAGTAGTCTTGAGGTGGAAGGTCAAAATCTGCAGAGAGAAAGGAGTTGCAGGGCAAATGATGAGGCATACAACCCAGAATCCACTTTCGACTTCGGGGGAGATGCCTCAACCGATACCGCATCGCAGTGAGCATCGCATGGTTGCCGATACTGCACTTTCAGAGCCAGTATAGAACATAGAAACTACCAGGTATACTTTGTATCGTCGTTTTTTTTGTTATTTTTTGAGGGTACGTTGCATGAAAAGAAGGTCAGAAGTCGGTCAAGCATCGCGTGTTTGTCGGGTTAGGCGATGGAGAACCTAATAGCGGTCAATGTGCGGCAATAAGCACATAAATACTGTAATGTATATTATATATACACAGTATTATCAGTATTGTTATTACTCTTGCGTATGTGTTGATTGTAATGTTACTCGCACTATAGATGGAATACGCATCCATGCACATGCATCAAGAGTCATCAAGCAAGAAGCAATCCACGAGAGTTTATCATCAGTGTGCTCCATGAACATGTTTGTATCTCTCAGGGTATTTGTGGCAAGTCCCGAGTCCTAAGTTGAAGAGATGTGTGTTTTTGGGTGTACCATGGTGTACCACATATTTATAGGTGCAAGAGCTTCCTGTGGATAATTAGTTGCTGAAGTAGAAAGTCAATTGGCAGTGTTGCAAGTCTCCGCTACTCCTCGAAAATTGTAGCTCCGGTGGCTGAAGGATACAGGAATTCCCGAACAACTTTCCTGCAATATTTCGTAATGTGGAAGTGACCCAAGAAGATCAAGAAGCTAGAACCTGCCACGTGCCACTGTCGAGCTGTGCTGTCGAGTCGCACTTGAACATTTGTCTCACCTTCCTCCTAGGTCTTACCAATTCACTTGTTGCCGGTTTATTGCTTTTGAGTTGCCCTCATGTTTAAAGCTCAATAACCCGGTCCAGGTCTCTCTGGTCCTCACCGCATCCGTGGTCACTGGTGCTTGTACACAGCCAACCACGACGGCACGGTTGGATCCCCGAGTTCGCACTTCTCTTGCACCATTTTGTGCCCAGAAAGCTGTTTCTATCCAGACTTACACCCGGGAAGATTAACATGGAACCTGAAAATGGACCTTTGGAAGACTACTTTCCTCTACAACCCAGTGGTTTTCAGGTTCTATGTTAATCTTCCTGGGTGTAGATCCCATCAAATTCCATCTTAGGTGTGTCTCCATCACCGGCCCCGCTGTGACCAGGTTGGTCTTGGTCTCACGTGCGGGGAAGCTCTTGGGCTTAATCACCAAAAAGGCCATTTGATGCACCGACCGTTAGCGCTTCATGCTTGAAAGACAACAAAACACAGTGTGGCGCCTGGCGCCACTGGCGAAGAACATTTAGAATATGTTTCCCACAGTGATGTTCAGATGGTTTACTAGGTGATGGTTTCGGATATTTCTATTTTCAACCCTTACTTGGGGATGATTGGACCCTCTGACTAATATGTGTCAAGTAGGCTGAAAACACCAACCAGTTTATATAATTAGCTTGTTTTCTATGTCTGTAATACCCGCCTTTTTTGGTGGGGGGATGGGTTGGTGAAGCCTCCGCGGGGCGTTTCATCCCTTTGCACCGACCAACCTCATTGCTGTGCTTCGACATTGGCTTGACATCGGCATGTAGCATATCCGAGCATCCCATGGCCGGGGCACATGTTTGATCTTTAGGAACTTTAGGACTCGTCTTCAGGGTGCATACAAGTGACTAAGTGGTCGGAAGCTCTTTTTTGGGTTTACATTGTTTCAGCATTTGTTTGAAACCGGTTTTTGCCCACGTACGTTGACTCACATGAAACCACAGACTCACAGTGTACAGTAAACTCACATCAATCATGTTTTTTTCACCAATCCATATTCATATACCTATATGTTCTATCCGCTCTCCAGGCCTTTGTGGAGTTCCTGGCGCATGGGGACATTGGGAACCTCACCAACGACCCCGCAGTGACCGCCGACCCAAACCCGAGGGTCGAGATGGGCACGCTTGAGGAGGGGCTGGTAAGGTGAAAAGTGCGGAGCGAAGGCGGCGAAAAGGGGGTGGTCAAAAGTCGAGTTGTGGGTGAGTCTTCGGTGGATTTCGTTGACAGTTATCAATACTTCACGGTTCGGTGCACTGGCCCAGGCATTTGGTTCATTGATGTAAGCGTTTTGATGAACAAAACAAACCCATTTGGATTGTAGAAGCTTGGCATATGCGGGGGTTCATTGCAAACAAGAGTCCACCGTATACGGATAGATAGACGCTTCCACAAGAATGTATACCGCACATGATGGCACACATCCGGCAGCAGCATTGGGCTGTCGCGGTGAGGCATGCTATTTGCTAAAGAGCTTTGCACTCTTGGCCGGGCTCAAGAACTCAACTATGAGAGGAACTGCTCTTTCTCATCATGCTTGTGTCCTGACATTTGCTGGTAACGGGCTGACACCATTGGGAGAAATCATTCATTTGCTTCTGCCTCACCCATGCCATACAATTTGAAGGCTCGCCCTTTTGCCTTCGAATCGAAATCGTTCCATTTGATCCGTCCATTGCTCCTTCGCCATGCTGATCATGGTGCGGAGCCCGGAGCCCCGCCGCACGGAGCCTGCCGGCCCTTCCACGGTGGTTGCTGGGCTGGTTTCGGTCGGCTTTTTGTTCGTTCGGAAAGGAAAAAGACCTCCAGCTAGCGACGGGCTCCTGTTCAAAAAGAATGCGTTGGAACATCTGAGAACTTGATTTAAAAGGACAGTGACTGTATACGCATTATATATACATACACACACATCATACACCAATTTCCAAGAACAACACCTTGTATGAAGTTCGGATGGAGGAGCACCTGCCACTAGCACGGCCATTGTGTCACACCGCCGCGGTCAGTATTAACATGTGTTAACATACCCGCGGAGCCCAAGTGACTGCCAACAACTCATATTGATGGTTGATAGACTCAATAGACCTCCCGTCAACCATCAAGCCTGCTTGGAATCTCATCTCAGGCATCCGAAAAAGCAACCAGAGAAGCCTTTCAATCATCGAAGAATTCCCAGGCGCGAATGATCTCAGGGTGATGTGCCTATCAGCGGAATCCTTCAGCAAGAGGAGGCTTAGGGACGCATGCAGAACACATATATTGCATGTGCTTGTTATACTTTCACAGGCTTCATGTGGTGTTCATACTGCAGTTGTTTACTCTGACATGCCTGCCCAACTCACTCCCTGTGAGTTCAACAGGGGGCAAATTTTGCATGGATGATGATCTTGGCTCCAGCCTCCTGCCTTTCATTCGGCCAAGCCAAATGGGCAAATTGGGTCGACCAAGTGGTTGAAATTTGGCCATGGCCGACCCATTTTTGTGGGAGCATTGCGTGCTGGGCTTCACCCTCCTTGGCTATGCAGTTCTCTCAATCAATGCCTACATCAATCGACGCAAGCGCTTGCGGCTGTCCGAGCAATCGAAGACGATGTCAGAGTGTGAGAAGTGTTCAGTAGAAATCGCCAACAGCCTGCTTCCCGATGTCAAAGTACCAGACTACCGCTTCAAGGGCATGCACTTGAAGATGTCCGGGATTCGCATCGGCTTTGACCACCTGGGCGTGAAGCTCAAATCCACGGGACGGACCATCCTGGAAGGCGTCAGTGGTGAATTTCGCCCCAAGAGGGTCGCAGCGATCATGGGACCCTCTGGCGCCGGGAAGACGACCTTCTTGAACGCTTTGTGTGGTCGGGCCACCTACGGCACCACTAGCGGTTCCATCCGCATCAACGGACAGAGCAGCAGCATCGCGGAGATCAAGCAGCTTCGAGGTTTCGTTCCACAGGACCGCGGAAAAACCGCGTCGGTTTGCCTGGACGAGGCGTTCCACGTCTCCGTGTATTTTTGTTGGCTGAACGTCTTGTGGGTGGCTCATGGTAGCTTACTTACTATTAAAATTATATGATTCGATATATGATGTTAGTGTATATATATAGTATATGTGTGTGTGATCGATATTCCTTGTTAAAGCCTCCCCTTAGCTTCCTTCAATGTTATTCCTAATCTTCGGCGACAGATTCCCGCCTGATTGGTCTTTCTCACTTGGAACCACCGACGGGGTCCTCAGTCAGATGCTTTCGGATGTTACAGCTAGTATTCGGTTGGCCAGCTGACGCCGCAAAGAACATTAAGAACGTTTGGCAAATGCCTTGTCCGTTGATACATTTACACTCTTTACGCTGACTAATGCGCTGGTCTTCCAAAGACTTGGTTTTAGTCCAAAAGATTCAGCAAGTGAAGCAATGATTTTGGGTAAAGACCTTAATCAATGTGGTTGGACTCCTAGGAAGTATGTCTATGTTACCTGGATATTGGCACGTGCCCATACGTGCAATTACTGTATAATGTGTACATTATATATATATATATACACACACATACGAGCAAATGCCAACACAGTGGTCCCAACTTGAAGCTTTTTGACTGCCAAAAACACAGGATGACATCGTCCATGAACACTTGACCGTGCGAGAGCAGCTCTACTATTCTGCGCGTTTGCGCAATGCGGAGGGCACTCCACCAGCAATGATCAACAACATCGTTGAAGATGTGTTGAACGTCATGCAGCTGCTGGATGTACAGCACAGCCTGGTTGGAGATGTGGAGAAGCGTGGCATCAGTCGCTTCGGTTTTTATGTTTCAGATGATGTTTCTCCTATGGGTGCGCTCAGATTAAGACATGGATATGTTTGTGGGAATTTGCAGGGGCAAGGTGTTCACAGCAAGAACCTGCACCACTAAAGTAATGTGTGTGGTAACATCAGGTGGAGGACAACGAAAGCGAGTGAACATCGGTTTGGAGCTTGCAGCACGTCCTACCATTTTGATGCTGGATGAGCCGACCAGTGGCTTAGACGCCAGCACTGCTTTGGAGATCATTCGCTCGGTGAAGCGGCTCACCGCCATAGGCGCGGCGCGGGCGAAACGGAACGACTCGATGCGGAGGTGGGAAGCAAATACAGAAGGATGTACACATGTTCACATGTCGCCTTGGAAAGCTAGGAGCTATAGCATGCTAGGGTGAAAGAGGAAGGCTTCTCAGATGGGTTCAGGCCACTTGCAAGAGGGAACACAACCTTAAATGTTACAACCTACCGGACAGAGCAAAATCAACCTTGTTTGTGACTGCCTGTGAGGGTCCAGGTTGATTTGATTGCATGCGATAATTAAGAGTGCAGATTGTGATTCTGGGCAACTGAATGAGCAATCCACCAGAAGATGAATCCCGCTTCACTTGGCCCGAGTCCGCAGGTATGACTGTGGTGATGGTCGTGCACCAGCCGCGCTACTCCCTGTTCACACTCTTTGATGATTTGCTTTTGCTTGGTCTTGGTGGCCGAACGGTCTACTTGGGCAAAAGTGAGGGCGCGCTTCCCTACTTTGGACTCTTGGATTGCAGCTTTAACCAAAGACCACCCTGGTTGACTACCCCAAGTCCCGATAGACTAAAGGGGGTGTCAACCTTTTTGGCATAATTGAAACTTTGGTTCAGGGTTCAAGAGATGCCCCCCTCCCTCAAAGCAGCAACTTGTTGCAGAAGATGCCTCCCATGCCGATTTTGCAGTCTAAAGCAGCAAGACCTATCATCGTCATAGCTAGTGTCATAGCTATATAGACCCCCAAATCGTAGAACAGATCCCCACCAAACAAGTATTGGACACCATTTCTATCTATTTGGGGGACCGCATGCTATCACCAATCCGAAGGCTTGGTCGGATCCGAGGGCTAAATGGTGGATGAAATTTCCCACTTCCAGAGACAACTGCGGGAACTGCGCAAGCAGAAACTGGAGCATACAAAAGAAACAGTACGCTGCATGTGACTGCACAAAGATTTGTTTCAGTAAAAATAAATAATGAAAGAGATATGTTTGCCGTGTTGGATATATAGCATGGCACTTTGTGCCCTATATAGATACTGTATATGTCATATGTCATTTTTGCAGTCATGCTTAAAGTTTAGAGTCTTTATTATTAGTGTTGAACTCTATATGTGCACATTGTTTGAGGTTTGCACACCCGTTCCTCCTGCATATTCTACTCATGTCTTACTCCACTCTGGGTGTCTCCACGTTCTATTGGATCCTATTGGTGTTTCCCAGTGTTGACCTGTTCTATTCATCAATGAGGACTCCAATCGAAGGGCAAAAATGCATCGTTTTGTGTTGTGTTGTTTTCTATTCGTTTGTTTCCAGCTCGGGGATTTCTGACGCGACGCTTTCATCCGCTAAAATACATCCTCCACTATTTGGATAATTCGTTCGACATCCAGCTTGGAGAGTTGACCTACCCAGGAAAGGTGGATAACCGTTAAACTAAATGGACAAAGGTTAAGCTTTTGTCAAGGGAAACTGGTGGAGTCAGTGTCAGGCAAATTGGGCTTTGAGATGCCCTTGCACGAGAATCCAGCGGATTGGTTCATGGATGTGATCTCCGGAAAGGTGAGGAACGAGAAGAATCCAACTTTGCAGCCAAGAAAGTTGGCAGATGCATGGGCTGAATTCATGACGAATTTGTTTGATTCAGGTGACTTGGAGTTGGGACCGGATGCAGCTGAAGGGCCGATGGACAGGTTCGCATTCACGAAGGCTTTGGATGCTAAACTGTTCAGTGCAGGATTTGGAGAGAATGATGTGTTGAGCCAGGAGCAGTTCGTAGACTTCCTAGACTTCTTGAAGGTAAAGAAGCCAACTCCTGCAGCATGGGAATGTCTAATGGAACGCATGGACTTTCAGGACGGCTTTATCACTCGGCCGAGGTTGACCTCTTTCCTTCATGCTTTGACGTTCTCCTTCTCCCAGGATGCAGGCAAATCTGAAGGGGATTTCACATCCTCTGAGGCCTCAAGCATTTCCATAGGCTCTTCCAAAGAGAGCTCCGTGAGTGGAATTCTCACCAGCAAGAAGATTGGACGTCGTGGGCGCTTTCTGATCCAGTACCCCATTTTGCTCCATCAGAATAGTATCCGTTGGGCAAGGGACTGGAAGCACAAGCTCATCAGCACTGGTCTCATCATGTTCGCAGCCGCCGTGTTTGGGGGACAATGTCGCGAGAAGCTGATCCCCGAAAACATTTTATGTCCCCTGAAGATCAACATCTCCCATCTCCCCATTGGGACCCTGAGCGGAATAGCATGTCTCCACATCTTCGGTTCAGATCGGCCTTTGTTTTGGCGTGAGAGTGCCAGTGGAGTGGGAGTCACTGCCTTCTATCTTGCCAGAGTGACCGTGTCCCTCTTCGATGTGCCTCACCGGCGTTTCAGCTTTCTTTTATCGAAACATTTGGGAACTTGTTGGAGCCATGCTTGACTGCTTTTCATTTCTACACACAGACTCTACAAACATTTGGTGACGCATTTGCCATGATTTCTAGCTTTTGTTGGAGTCTTGCTTGGACATTTTTGTTGGGTGGGGTGCTCTTCGGCAAACGTTTCTTTTTGTTTCTTGTGGGGGGGGCAGACAGACTTTGGGACCTCTTTTCGGGCTGAGGTGCTGGTCTGGTGCTATTTGTACACAATCGTGTGGATGATCTTTGCTGAAGCACCTTGCAGCTATTGGATGTGGCTGATTGCATTTCGGATGACTGCGGTCAGTGCCAGTGGCGTGGGTGTCTTTATGTCGACCCTGGTGCCGAAGCAGAACTCGACTCTTGCGACTGCGGTGCTCCTGCTGGTCATGGGTGGCGCACTCAGTGAACCTCAGGTGATTGCAGAAGCCGAAGGTCTCAGCAGTGCATTGGCATTCCTATCTCCATTCACTTGGTCTCAGGCGGGGCCTTTTTGAATCCTCCATTCTTCCGCCGATTTCGTTGGCTTCGCCTCGGGTCTCCACGACTGACCATTTTGTCGGGCCAGGCGGTCACCCGGACACCATCGGACACCTGGTCATGTTCGGTTGAGCTCGTTCATGTTCGATCATGTTCTGGTGGTCAACCAGCGCCCCCGCTGGTGCCACGGTCTTTTTGAAAGACTCAGTCCTGATCTCAGGGGGAGAACTACTTGGCGCTGATCGAGGTCAGTGGTGGAGAAGAGGCCGTGGACTTTTATGCCGTAATGATCGTCGACGGCTACAAGAAAATCCTACTATGCTTGGGTGGAAGTGACCTGGGCTACTTGACCTTGGCCTATATCTTCTGCGGTGTGTTCGGATTTCTTGCGCTGATCTTTGGGTATATTGGGCTTCGGTTTTCTCATCGTGGCAAACAGGCATAAGAGGAATCTGCAGAGGGTCGACCAGCAAGGACTGGACACCCAGCAAGGAGCTTCCTGGGGCCACCTGTGCCCGCCTGCCACAAAAGAGAAAGAACTTCCTGGATGATTAAGAAAGACTCCCTTCACTGGATATAAACATATCATAGATATTACCAACTATCTATCTATCTATCTATCTATTTATCTAATGTATGTAATGTAATGTAATGTAATGTAATGTAATGTAATGTAATGTAATGTAATG